TCGATGTGGAGGAGCAGCGGCTCTACTTTGAGCTCCTCTCGTGTGACAGAGCTCCTCACCCTGTCTCTAAGGGAGCGCTCTGCCACCCTACGGAGAAAGCTCATTTCAGCCGCTTGTATCCGGGATCTCGTTCTTTCGGTCATGACCCAAAGCTCATGACCATAGGTGAGGGTAGGAACGTAGATTGACGGGTAAATCGAGAGCTTCGCCTTTCGGCTCAGCTCCTTCTTCACCACAACGGACCGATACAGCGATCCTACAGCCTGTCAATCTCATATGTGGACTAGTGTTCAATAAATGTTAATCCTGTTTTGCATGCAATTTTAGACTCTAGATTATGCTTTGTTACTCTCTGGGAGTTAATAGTAAGAAGGTTAGAATATATAATTAATGAAGCAACACAGTTTTTCCTGTTGTTTGTAAATGCTTTTTAGAAGAGGAAGCAAAAGGAAGCAAAAATACATAACATGTAAATTAGCCATGTAAATGTTAGCCATGTAAATCTTTCTCCTTGTTTATCCACAGGTATGGCAGGGACCATCTACTATCTTTCGGAGATGGCTACGCCAGAAGCTTCCTGTTTCCCTGCCTTTGAACTTTGACCTTGCAGCTGTTGCATCTGAGGTGAAAAAAAAAACTGCTTCAGAAGATAACTTAAGTATTATGCGTCACAAAGGACAAGGACCAGTGAGTAGTGACTGTTTTAATACCAGTGGAAAGGCGAGACTGCATTTGTTCTAAAAGTCGGTCAAAAGAAATTAATTTAATGACAGATGAGGATTATTTATGACTGAACTATATCAATGAAAAAAAAAAAAAAAAAGCAGCAAGTGAATGGAAAAACGACAGTTGCCCAACACCGGACCTTGGTCCTTCTGCTGATCGCCTACTTCAGTGGGAGGACGATAAACCCCTTGGGCCTCTTCTCATGTATTTAATTTGATAACCTGTCGGAAAAAGACGCCCTCCACACCCCTTTACTCGTCTTCAATAATGTAGCATCTAGGCCAAGAAAGTGGGTTAAGTGTTGTAATGTGTGTGTATATGTTTGTTTGTGTCCGTTTGTTGACAAGTAGATATTTCTGGAATAAGGGCATCTTGTTATTTCCAAGGGCTTTTTTGAGTTGATGTTTGAAACATCACATAAGGATGTGGTTAGCAGCAACTAGGGATGGGCTCAATCTGATACTCAGGGTCGGTATCGGTCAGATATTGGTCAAAATTTCAGGAGCAAACATAAAAAAACAAAACAACTATAGCCCATCTAATCTGATACCTAAGCCCAAATGAAAAGTTAACTTTTTGTGACATGCTGTAAACGGGGACACTATCGCCTTAGCAACGGCATGCAGGAGGAGAAAAGGAAGTTTCAGATTCATACCTCCACCGCCCACAAGACAAGAATGGAGGTTTTTCACTGCTACTAAGTCCTTATTTGACACTTTTAGTCTTGTTTCAGTTTAAGAATACATTGCAATTTTGAATAGTTTCTTGTGCCTTGTGGCCTTTTTGTACTTTACGCCATGAACACTTTCAATTCTGTGTACATGTCGTTTTTTTTTTTGCAGTACTTAACCCTTAGGTATTAGCTACTTTAAAGATAAGTATGTCATGAGGAATTGCTTGGTGTCAGCACAGTAATTGTGACGTACCCAAAACTGTGGGTTTTTTTTTTGTGTGTGTGTGTACGTGTGTCGTAATTTCAGACCTTGCATGCTCACCTTGAATGGCTTATGGTGTCTCATTTCCCGGTCTGCCTTCCTTCCGTTTGTAACTGTGCTGTTCAAATCGTATAGAAGCATCAGCATCTTCTTTTCCCATTATCTATTTTTCCCTTTAAGACAAATCCTTTTTTTTCTCTCTTATACAGAATATATCAGAGAATTCTTGATAGAGTTTATTTTTGAGTTCTCAAGATGTTGAAAACAGTGAATAAACGAAGCAAACATCAATAAAGGTTCAAAAGAATGTTCTAACAAAAAATACTTTTCTAGTGATAGTATCAGTGTCTGTGTGTGTAACAGGAACTACTTCTCCAGGAACTACAGTGGGTACGGAAAGTATTCAGACACCCTTACATTTTTCACTCACGATTAAATCTGAACATTCAGGGTGAATTAAATAATTAACCACAAATGTGTGCTTTGATATTTGTGCTTTAAATCCCGACAGAACCATCGTGTTACTTTTGTAAAGAGTTCCTGGTGCTGGCTCGCGGTCATGGAGGTGACGTAAAACGCTATTCTGGTGAGCTTGTTGTTAAGATATTTGCACTTGGTGGAGAGGGTGGAGGAGTTCTCTGTTACATTTGCCAGACATGCTGTTAGACACTCTCTCACACACTGAGCTTTTAACTAGTTTCTCCTACTTCATTATTAAGAAGAAAAAAAAACCCAGTCTTTTTGACCATATTGTTACAACATTAAAGTCAAGTGACAGATTTTCACCATGTGTTTTTCTGCTAACACTGAAGTGAGCTTAACCCCCTGCTTTATAGGAATGAACTCAAAGTAATGGTTCTCTATGTGAAAATGGTCTATGGTTTCAATGGGAATGTCTCAAGAGGGACGTGGGATCCATCCATCCCAATCCTTTTGTAAAGGCATGGATTAAGCATTGTGGTCTATGGATCTCGCCAAGGAGTAGGGCAAAGAACGAAATAAGTTCGTGACCCGAGCTATCGCTGTTATTAAGTGGGATCCATCCAATCCTTTTGTAAAGGCATGGCTTCATAGACCACAATGTCTATGAAGCATCGTGGTCTGTGGATCTCGCCAAGGAGTATGGCCAAAGAACGAAATAAGTTTGTGACCCGAGCTATCGCTGTTATTAAGTTAGACATCTGTGAAAACACCTAGATCTTTCTGCTGTTGTTTGTTGTTTCGGCAATATACAGAAAAAAAATGTTTTCTGAATGCTGATTCATCTCAATTAGTCACGATTAATCGTTATTAGTTGACAGTTACCCTAGTTTTAATCCATGCGTGTTTGTGTTTGATTAATCAAATTAAAAAGTTGTTAGTTGTTGTAGTTCTGAGTCAACGTGACTATGTTTATGACAGCATGGCGCTTTCCAAAGGGGTTCAAAGGTCATGCATATCGGGCCGTTTTTTTTTCTCGCTCCTCGACGTTCCTCCCAACTGACTCTTAACTTAATATGAATTCACACAGGCACCTGAGAGGAAATCCCCGTCTACGTTCGTAAAGACAGAACCTTAGGTTGATGCTCCTTTTCATAGCCGAACATGTGATCAGCGGGGTCAACGATTAGCATTAGGGTCAGTCGGTCCAGACACTGAAATAATTTCAAACAAAGGTTCAAGAGAGTTAAAACATCTGTTAAGAGAGCGAGCAAAAAAAAGAAAGAAAAAAAAAAATTCAAGCAGTTGACGTGTTGACGTCACCTGAGTATCTAGTACATAGTTACTTCGAAAACAACCAACTTTAAGAACTATTTAAATATCACTGTCCTTTTGAATATTTAATTTCAAACCACATACCCAGTTATCTAGTTGCACATGGAGAGTCGGTGATGATGACGTGAGAGAATCCTTGACCTGAACCAGTCCATCCCTGCTCGTCCTCGCGTTCAACAACTGCAGTTACCACCGCTGTACATAAGTCTATACAAGTCAAGAGTCTACGTCGTAAATCGGTTCAGGTGAAGCAGTGTGATGGTCTGGGTGAGTGTCGATACTGTTTATTGTGCCTCCGGTCAACACAAGAGTTCCTCCACATCCTCGCGGCGCTCCGTTTTCCTGCCGGTGCGTTTTTCGAACGCTACTTCTTGTCACTGTTTTGAAAGATTTGTTCGTACGATGGCGGCGGATGGTTGCAATAGGATGGCGGCGGAGGGTAAGCGCTCATCATCATGTGGGTAGAGCCGGGTTGTGGGGGGAACGCTGGGTGTGTCATGGCGACACTGGGGTCTCCACCTGTCATCCCGTTGACTCCAAATCCCTGCATGATTCCTGGCTGCTGGGAAACTGGAAAAGAAGAAGAAGAAGAGTATCATTATTAAAGGCAGTTCATTGGATCTGTTTTTTTTCAACAGTAGTAGTGTCTGAAATCATCAAACATCTAACCATCAGTAATAGGTCT